GGCCAGAGGGCGAGCAGGGCGGCGGTGCCCGGCGCGAAGCGGGAGAGCCGCCAGCCCGACCTGCTGATCGCAGCCCTGGGCGTGAAGCTGGGCGCGCAGAAATCCTCCGTGACCATCTGGCAACCGCTCAAACTCTTTGCTTATTCGCAGTTGACGTCGCTGGTCAGGAGAGCGACTCTGAAGGAAAGCGAGCATGTTCCGAAATACGAGAAGATTCACAATTTCAAGGTAAGAAATTACGCTGCTCGTTTCTTTTTAGGGCGCGGGGGCTATAGTTTTTATTTTAAAATGGGTCCGGGATTGCAAGGAAATAATACATATGCGGGCTGTGACTTACCGGGAGCTCAGATGCTTCAATTAAATCTCATTCCCGGTTAAATCAATTACACATCTTTTGATCGTGTCAGCAGAAGAGCGAGGACTTTGTTGTTGGCTGCCTGTCTGCATGTATTTGTTTCAGTCGTATTTCCCGTATCTAGGCTATGTCTTTTATGTAGAATTGTTTTACACCAAGAGGGATGCTAAAGGTGAGAAGAACTGGCAAAGTTTTCTTGCAGTTCAAATAAATGTAGTTCAGTTTTGCTTATGATGATATGATGCCGAAAAATCTTTTTAGATCTGTGATTAGAGGATTAAACTGATCTTATCTCAGTTTGTCGCTGGTAAATAGCTTTGGAGGTAAGACGCATGTTCTGCTGCATCTGGATTGAGCAGATGGTCGGCGTTTCCCTCAGTTGCTGGCTTTTCTCCTCTGCCAATGAATTGAGTGTGCTGAAAGCAGCATGGCTTATACCGTGGGGCTGTTGGGGCTGCTGGCATTAGCAACCACCTTGCGTTTTAGTAAAATGTAGTTTTCTATGTAGCTTCTAATTGTTGTTCTGATTATTTTAAATATATGATGCTTTTTGGTAAGAGAGACATGTCAATACAACATAGGCATTTTTTGTGTCTGTATCTGTAATGAGTGTCCAGTAAGGATTTAGTAATTTAACCTTTTGGTGGTCAAATGCCTTGGATAATAGGCAGCCTTTATTTGTAAGTCTGAGTGAATCGATGTTATACTGAATTCCTGTAGATGATGGTACAAACTTCATATATAGTACATGAAGCCTAGGTTTTATCTTTAATGTGTGGGGGTTTTTCACCCGTGTAGCTTTTGCTTTTATTTATTTTAGGACTAGGGGAGATCATTAATATACTACCAGTGTCTGATGACACAAGGATCTGTTAACTGTCTCTGCTCTTCAGTTTTGATTGCCGTCACTTGCATGTGCATGTGTGAATGTACACATGCATACACATATGTATATTTGCCTATCGTCCATCTGATTTTGTTTAAAACACCTTCTGGCTTCTGAGTTTGGATAATCACTAGAATTGGAAACTTTATATGACGAGGATGTTTTGTTTGACTCGAGTTTTTCAATAAAGCATGAATTTGAAAGCCATGTACAAAATGTTATACAAAGTGTTTAATAGGAACACTGGGCATAACATAATCCTGCTGGCTGTCAGTTAACTGCGGAGCATTTTTTCACAGGCTTCTGAGATGTCCTAGAGATCTAAACTGTCTTGCAACTTAAATTTGTTCCTTGGAGTTTGGAGATAATTCTTGCAGATGCCAACAGATAGCAATTTTCCATGTACTAGAGTGTATGTAGGATAACACGTGTTTAATTTTGTGCACATCTGTATTCCTTAGTTGCTTTCCTTTAGCAGCCTGAAATACATATGTTTTGAAAATAATCTAACAACCTGATTTTCATTCCTTTGGGTTTATTTGTTTTTCTTCCAGAAACTGTTTCTGGAAAGTTTGCAAGCTGTGAGTTTTTCAGAAACAAACTGTGTGTCTGATCCAAGGTCATAGCTATAGCGCAAACTTTCCACACAGATTGTTTTCTTTATAATAGTTGTACTGTAGTTCCTTTATACATACAGTTGCCAGAAAAACATACCTTGAGAAGTAACTCGTTTCTCAAGTCAGTGAAATGGAGTCACCTTACACAGATAGCTTTTGCTATGAAGAAGTAGAAGAGAACAAACCCCTTACCCTTTAAAGGGTGTGTGGCAACTGACCTGCCTGCTGGAGGAATGCTGCTGGCATTTACGAGCTCCTACTTGTGGCTGCTGTCTCATTTTTTAAAAAATAACGATAAGCCCTTCGTAATTATTGCACTATGGACCTGAAATGAGTGGCCATCGTTAGCTCATGTGCTTCTTTCCTGTGTCATTCCTTGCATTTGTCAAATTTTTCTTCTCACATGTATAGACGTCATCATTTAAAATGTCGGCAGAGGTCTCCTAGGTTGCCTGCCAAGCTGCAAACCCATGTGGGAAGGAAGGAAATGTCAGTCCCGGAGTCTTGAGCCTAGACTTTTGAAACAAAACAAGAAAAAAAAAAACTAAATTAAATAAATTTATATAGTTTAGCTAACTGACAGAGACTGTTGTCCCCAGAGGCTCTTCCAGCAGAAAGGAGGATGCATGCTGCTTTGTACTTCTGTGGCTAATCGTCTCTTTATTATACAGGCACGAGGCAACAGATATGGACCCCTAACCTGTTCCCGGCTGCTTCTTTGACCAGGCACATCGCTAGTCACAGAAACGAAGGGGTCTCAGGAATGCTTCTGTGCTGGAAGTGCTCTGCCGTCCCAGCAGAGGGAGAAGTGGAGAATCATTAATGCAGGACAGCTAGAGTTGTTGTCTTGGAGGAGGGAAGAGGACGGCAGCAGCCGCTCCAGAGGGGAGCTGGGGTTAGCAAGTGTGCAAGTGTCCAAGAGGCTTGGCCACAGGTTCGGAGACCTCAGCTCTCCCTCTAGCCCTGCACCTCCTGTCCCGGTGGGGTGGGTTGGAGGGGACAACGGTGGGGTTTGGACCCTCTGACATTTGGTTGCCTGCAGCAAAGCTCAGGTAGAGGAGCACAGGGGCAGAGAAGCAGCGTAGTGATGGTCCGCACAGGGGTGTAGGTGCCTAGGGAAGGGGTGTACGCGAAAGCTGCTTTTGACTCTTAAATCGTCAAGAGTTCTCCTGAATAAATCTGTTAATCTATGTTTTACTCCAAGTGTTGTTTGAAAGAAGGATGTAAAGAGATTTCTGCTAGGAGGGCTGACGCAGCTGGGTTTTGAAAGGTTTGAATCTCACTTAAATCTCCTGGAGTGTGAGCTGTCTCCTGCCTGAAGTGAGCAGGCTGGCCAGCCAGCGTGATGGGGAACTCTGCGGACAGAGCTGGACAGTGATGATCTCCTCCTGCTCTGTAATACTCTCCTGACTGAGTAGGTCTGGTCTCTCGTGAGCACAACTCAAATGCAAATACAGAGTGGCTGAATTCTGTTAAATTAATCTGCATAAGTAAAGAAGGGGATGATGATTTATAACTGTCAGATCTGACTGAGTTCTTAATGCCCATTCCTCAGGATGAGAGCTAGGTATTAAAAATATTTTTTTTTAAGCGTATATGGGCTTTTTCTAATTTATAAAAAGTTTTCAGTTAATATTTCTGTGTTCTCTATAAATCTAATATAAAAGATTCGTTTTGTGTTAATTCAGATATATCAGCTAAAAGATCTACATTGTTTGACACAGCATTTTATTTAGCTCTAATTGAATAATGGGATTTGAAGGTGAGCTAGGACTGAGTGTGACTTGATTAGGTCTGTCTGTTTGCATATTTGATTTCTTTTGCATTCACTCCCTATACTCTGCTTTTCTGAAATCCAGGACACTGAATGAGATCTCTTGTAAGTGAATCGTCAGACCAAATCAGGACAATCACTTCACCATCCTCAGTTTCAGCCCCACCTTCTTTCAGGCTTTCCCTCCCTTTCAGTTTCTTACCCACTTTGGGGAAGAAATCTCCCCACGCTCTCTGGTATACATGTATCTATATGGACATGTGTGTGTGTGATGGATATCAAGTTCGTTCTTCCACCCAGTGTAGAAGGACAATAACATCTTCCATTTGAAAGCTCTGGCAGATCTGTGGGGTGCTCCTTGAAGTGCTGACAAGGAGCGTAGCTGAAGCCAGTGGTGGTATCTTCTTAGAAAAAGAAGCTTTGTCATAGGGGAAAGTTCTGTAAATTTAATAGAAGTGGGCAGAGTAGATTTATACCTAATGGTTCCCATAAATTTATTCTACAGCCAGACTCTATCAATAACAATGTTTTTTTCTGTGCCTTATAAATCTCGTATTTGCTTATCTTGTCCCCAAAATGCAGCAACTGTGGTAGCTTGTGAATTAAAATACAGTTTCTTACCTAGCTGATAACTGATCCATTCAGTAATTTTAAGGAGAAGAAGCTGCTGGGGACCTCCTGGGCAGGCAGGTGAAGGAGGAGCTTCGAGCAACAGCAGGAGCCTCAAATCTGAGGAGAAAAGGGGCCTGTGGCAAGGTGCCACACGGATTGAAATGTTCAAGGGTGGTCATTGAGAGGAGGACTGGGGGAGCTCTGGGTTGGGATGAGTGAGGTGGGCTTTCAGCCGAAGGACTTGCACAGCAGGGGAATCTCAGCTGGGTTTAAGGTTACCCCATCTCATCTCTCTGGTGAGGCAGGATTTGTTAGGGTACTCAACACACAGGATTCCCCGTGCTCAGTCCTCCGGACTTTCCCTCTTTTTGTCTCCTCCCCTCTCCACCTCCCCTCTGCATCCTGTAGTTTTTTGCTGTTTAAAAAAATATATATACGCATAATAAGGTGCTTTCTGCTCCGAGTCCATCCCCACCTGACACGGAACATCTTCTGCACCTCATTGCCGCCTGGTGCCATGCTTTGGAGTTGGGCACTGCCCTCGCTCCTCTGCCCGCTGTTTGTGGGGTTGGAGAAAGCAGTAAAACTGGGCTTGAAAAATGCTGACAGCAAGGAGGGCAGTCATGGAGGAGAAGCATTAGCTGGGAGTTATGGGATGATAGCTTGAAAGGAAGAGGAAAGGGAAAATCTGAGATTAACAGCAAGAAATCTCCTGGGTCGTGAAACTTGTTAGTCAGTGCAATAACCTCCCCTTCACTTGGCAAATTTAAATGAAGCCTGGACAAAATACCTTAAAGGTCTTTACTCCCCTCCAGCTTGTGTGACTCATGGGCCCTGGGGAGTTTTTAGCTCCCTTGGCTGGTTATGGATATTCCTTCAAACACCTCTGGCTCCTGATGGCTTGAGCCAGCAGAGCACGCTGCGGGTGTTTCATCACTGTCGATAGTCCAAGGCGTCAAACCACGCTTCTGCCTAGATTAGTGC